CAGGCAATGAAGTCCCCAGAAGAAAGACAGTTGTCAAAAGCAATTGCAGTTGAACTCAACAATGTGGAACAGATGCGTGTTTGGTTGGTACGGCTCATGCCACAGGACAAGAAAGCTCTCAACGGAAGATGGGTTTTTGCCACCAAGCCTGATGTCAACGGGTCAGGTGTACGTTTCAAGGCACGTTTTGTGGCAAAAGGTTTTACGCAGGTGGCCGGTTTGGATTTCAATGAAACTTTTGAACCAACGGCAACGTTTGTGGCATTACAAGTCCTGTTGGCCATAGCCGGGAAGAACAATTGGCCGGTACACAGTCTTGATTTTGTAGCAGCCTATCTGAATTCCCCAATCGATGAGGAGGTGTGGGTAAAACCTCCGGAAGGCCTAGATGTACCGCCGGGACATGGATTATTGCTACAGAAAGCACTGTACAGTACGAGGCAGGCAGCCAGATGCTGGTGGCTCCACCTTTGCGACATCCTGAACAAGCTTGGGTATGTACCATCACAATATGATAACAGCCTATACATTTTACGTCATGAATCTAGGTCTGGTGCTATCTGGCTGCATGTTGATGATGGAGTAGTAACTTCTTCCAGCGAATCTCTGCTCAAACAATTGGAAGCTGATCTTAAAGATGTGCTAAAAATAAAGTGGTCCAATTCTTTAGACACAATTGTATGTTTGAATGTAGAGCGGACATTGTGTGGCTTCCGGCTTTGTCAGAAAGAATTGGTCAAAGGAATTCTAGAGGAACATTGGGAGGGAGTGACAACCTCGAGCACGCCTCTTCCGTCAAAATTCAACGCAATGACTGACCCCAACGGTGATGCAACGCAATCCGGCAGGTATTTATCTATCATTGGATCTCTGAGCTATTTGGCGGTTGGAACAAGACTGGACATTTGATTTGAAGTCAATTACTTGGCACATTTTGCGGCAAAACCAGGGGTGGAACACTGGAAAGGCGTCAAACACCTTATCAATTATCTGGGTGGAACAGCGACCAGCTATACTGGAAACTGACTCAAAACCTTCAAAAACCTTTTGTGACACGTCTTGGGGTGGTGAGTTCTCAAGATCATCTTACGGGGTTTTCATTACAGTTTTCAACTGCCCAGTCCTGTGGGTAGCAAGGTGACAACAATTGGTGGCTTCATCTACTTGTCACCCAGAATATATGGCTTTGGGTGTAGGTACTAGACAAACACTCTGGGTAAGACACTTGCTGAAGGATGTTCTGAAGGAAGATTTTGTGGGGCATCTGCATTGTTAAAATCAGTCCACTGTCCATGTAGCAATGGATGATGCATCCAACAAAAGAACCAGACATTCAGAAAGAGATTTCTACATTACTAATGAAGCTTTGTTTCAGAAGAAGACTACTTTGACGTGGGTTGGCACAAAGGAACAGATTGCGGATATTTTCACTAAATGTTTGTCACCAGATGCTTTTAATAATCTGTGTGGCAAAGTGTTGGGTGATACATACATTTTTTAAAATAGTTTTCATGTTATTTTTCCTTCCTTATTATTCTTATGTTGTGCACAAAGACTTGTACGTAGGTGGGCGTCTGCGGCAAGAGGGGGGGTGTGAGCCTGGGTCTCAATAGTGACAGCAGGACACAAGGTTTTGGGGGGCACTTTTAAATGTATTTCTCAAGATAAAGGAAATACAAGTAAAAGTAGAAGAGAGGGAAGGAAGAGAAGGAACAGAATGGAATAATCTTTTTGTTCTTTGTTTATTTTATGAAGAAGATTAAATTATGGCAGTCTTACTGTCCCTCTTGGATGGCTGCAGACAGTCTTACTCTCCTTAGTAGGATGGCTGTTATAAGCGGAGCTAACTCTGACGCCTCCAAATCAACAGAAACTGAAATGGGTATTGACACTGATAAATCAGGTCAACCACAATTTTTTAGATCAAAGATCAAGGCTCTTTAAAGGGAAACCTATGTAGTTTTCAGTTGTACTACCAAACAGGAAGAGAAGAGATAATAGAAGCTAGGGCTTGCTTTCTTTGATCAGGG